TCTGAATCATCCTGTGGCTTAATGCAGAGCTCCTCCCTGTCTCTCAGTTCTCATGGAACTCCCGAAGGAATAGGGACTGGGGATGGCCTGGGTATGGTCCCACCCCGCTACCCTCAGGGAGACAGCCACACCCCTGATGACTGCAAGGTTGGCCAATAAATCCAAAGGCTTAGGAGAGGGAAGTCAAGAGGTGTGTGTATGTGTGTGTGCGCGTGTGTGTGTGTGCGTGTGCAAGTGTGTGCATGTGAGTGCATGTGTGTGTATGTGTAAAACCTTTTTGTCTACTCAGCAAGCTCTGATCTCAGCCCCAACATGAGGGGCATCCCGCATGGAGAGTGATAAACAGGTCTGGCCTGGCTCCCCACTCTCTCCACGGGACCAGGGGTGGACTAATCAAATCAGTTTCCTTTTCTGTAAATAGCTGCCGGCCTCACCTCCCTTGCATCCTAGGAAGGATTCAGGGTCTCCATGAAGAGGAGAGATGACTAGGACCTCAAAGCAGAGATGCCTCTGCCAGCTTCCTGGACAAGCTCTCAGCATCTTCCTTCAGACCTCTAGCCCTGAGCATCCTTCCAAACCATGCCAGCCCCTGGAAGCCCTTGGATGGCCAACAAATCTTCATCCCAATTTTCCAGTTTTGCAGATTCAAGGCTAACGGCAATCTGCTTGTTCTATGCGAAAAGCAGAAAATGTTCAGATTTATTGCTTTGAGAGTTTCGTCTGTCTCTTGGGCCTGGTTGATGCAGTTTCCTCCAAGTTTCATAGCATTTTGTTTTAAAAAAAGAATTTTTGACAGCCGTGTTTTGCCTCACATTTACGCAAGTTTTATAGTTTACGAAGAACATTCACAGACTAGCAATAATGATCATCACTCTGTGTGTTGAGGTCCTTCACTGGGGGCTCAGCTCAATTAACCCTTGAAACCACCCTCCTGTTCCATATATGGCGAAGCAGAAGCTCAGAGAGATGAGGGGCTGGCCCAATGTCACACAGCCCGGGGAAAGGGCAGGGTGGGGTCCACTTGGGTTCAGCTTGTGCTTCTCCTCTGTGTCCTGCCATCCTGTCTTTCTTATCTTCAGCCTGGCCAAATGCACGCCCATCTGCAGATAAAGTTAGTGAGAAATAAAACAAAACAAAACAAAACAAGAACGAGGGGATTTTGCAGAAAACAGAGGTTAGAATGTGCATAAAAATAACCATGTACGTTCAAGCAAATCCTCAGGTCTCCAAACAATATATTTTGTGCTAAGATTCTTTCTGTGATGATGCAGGTGGTGGAGGGTCCAGTGGGGAGTCAGCATGTGGAGGACTGGCTTTCTAAGTTCTAAGACTACAGTGTTCGAACAGTGGCCAGCAGCCACACATGGCTATTTAAATTTAATGAAAATGAAATAAAATTAAAAATTTAGTTCTTCAGTTGCACTTACCACATTTTAAGTGCTCAATATTCACATGTGGCCATCCTGTTGGCCAGCAGGGATTAGAAGATTTCCGTCATCACAGAAAGTTCTACTGGACAACATTCTTCTAAGCCACCAACGAGGCTGCTCCTGTCTTATCCTGACTGTCCTGGGGAGGGGGCGCCACTGGCCCAGGTGATAGACACCTGTTTTGAGGTAGGTCCCTCTGTAGCCAAGGTACCTATAGATGTCGTCCCCACACCCAAACCCCTCTACATTACTCTGGAGAGGCCACAACTCCAGGGGTGCAAATAAAGGGCAGAAACCAAAAGAGTGACCATTAGCTGAGGCCATGCTACTCAAAGTGTGGTCCAAGGACCAGCAGTATCAGCATCTCCAGGGAGCTTGTTAGAAATGCAGACTCTCGGGCTCTGTGTCAGACCCACTGAGTATGAACCTGCATTTTAACAAGATCCCCAGGTGATTCAGGTGCACATTCAAGTTTGAGAAGCCCTGACTTAAGAGGCAGGCTGAGATGGATCAAAATATTGTCCCAAATATAGGAAACCGATTAGATATTTTTGGATACCAAAAAATAGCATCAGCGCCCCGTCCCCCGAGTAGTGTGTGATTAAGCATGAGTCACAGAGGGCTGAGCTTCTCTGCGTCACATGATCAATCAGTATATCCCCAAGGAGAGCCCCCCAGGGAGGAGCTGGGGGGAGCTGGCCCATTCCCCATCTCCAGCACCTTCTCCAACCACGATGGGGTCACCTCCACAAAGCAAACAGAGCAGAACACAGCATCACATCCTGAATCTCAGGGATGCTGCCTTTAAATCAGATTTTCTATTTTTTGCCTTTCTTTCCCATGCATTTGGCTTTTGAACTTTGCAAATTGCTGAAGACACAATGCAGTGTATGAAGCCAGTCTGAACAAACACAGTCTTTAAAAGGTGGCATCTGGCAAAGGACTGTGTCTCCCTTTCCCAGGGACATGATGCCCTGCAGGCCCCAGTCCCTAGAGCTGGGTGCTAATGAAGCTTTCTGAGAAGGAACCAGCATCGAGCCCATCCATGAAGAAACAAGTGAAAAATGTGGTTCTATCCGCACAGTGAGGGCAAAGAGGAGGCTTAAAATGAGACTGGCAGCACGCTCGCTGGCCCCCGGCTGGGGAAGGAGGGAATGGTTCCAGAGCTTGGATTCTGCAGCTCCTCCTTTAATGAGGATGACTCATCCCTTAATTCCCCTCTCCTCTCAGCCTACCTTGGGTCTTAACTTATTTTTATCCCCGAATGGAGTTAAGTTGCCAAAAGGATGGTATTTCTCCACCTGCAAGCGCCCTCCTGGAGGATGAATTTTAAAATAATCATTTTTACAACTTGCTCCCAGCGATAATGCAGAAGACAAGAATGCTGTGGGGAGGAGAGGGGAACAGCGACATGGGCCCAGGGGGGAGCCTGGGGCCTTGGGGAAATGCAAAGTGGCTTTGCCTGGAGAGTCAGTTCCAGGAGTTGACTCCAAGGAATGGTACCAGGGAAAAGGGGGAGGGTCCAGCTTGCTTTCATAACTCTCTTTATGATGCCGAAAAAATTAAAGCCACGCATGAGAACAGTCGTGCTGTTTCTGCCGAGCCAGCCGGCAGGTCTGTTACTTTGGTAGCAAATCCCTTTATTCCTCCAGGAAACAGCCTGTTGCCCATTGCATGGTGTCTTGGTGGGTCTGTCAGTCAAGATGCCTCGCCCCACTCTTGGCTGGGTACACATGACTCAGACCAAGTCATTTGGAAGCTCATGTCCTTGGATGGAGACAGTAGGATCTGGAGCAAACATCTGGATTCACCTGTCCTGGTGGTGGTACCTGGGAGGCTACCCACTGGGTTTTGTAGCCTGGATCCCTGACCAAGCCATCTTCCTAGTCCTTCCAGAGGTCTGACTGTTCACTCTCCTGAGATTCTGTGGCATTCCACTCCAAGGCATTTTAATATATCCTTTTTTTTTTTGCTTAAGTTAGGCAGGGTTGTCATGTATTATTTGTAACTAAGAACCCAAATGGACAAACCCAAATGCCCAGCAGGAGGGGCTTAGATCCAGAAAGCATGGTACAGCACATGATGGAATATGACACAGCCAGGTACAGCAGTGAGATTAATGTATGTTGACAAGAAGAGATGTTCACAATACATAGTTTAGTGGAGAACAGATTATAAGAAAACAGGTTGCCAGGTATAATATCATGTTTGCAAAAATATATTCTGAACATTCATAGAAAAAGATCTAGAAGAAAACGTAACAGTATCCATTCTGGAGGGTAGGAAGGTGAATGATTTTTCTTTCTGCTTATCATAAAGATACTCCTCATCTCTCTATAATGTTTGTGTAATGAATTTGTTTGTTTTGCCTTTTTTTTTTTTTAAATGGGCCCAAGCAGGTCACTGGAGCCACCTTCTTGGTGCCTGTTAAGATTGAAGTGATTTGCTGGGTTCAGGTAGCAACTTACTGACCAAACACCAGGGCTCCTGCTACGTGGACAGCTCACCTGTAGCTCTGACTGCTGCTTAAGAAGAGGCTGGAAGCGTGCAGAGTCTCCAGAACAAGGCCGCAGCACTTCTCACACCCCAGGGCACCGGCGGCTTCTCGTTGTGAGGTGGAGGGCCTGCCCTCTACTTGATGGAAAGGAGTGGCCCAGAGAGACAAGTGACTCGCCCAGGTTCCCACAGTGGAGGCTTAAAGCCACGTCACCTGGCCCAGGGTCCCAGCATCCCCGGGGCTCCTTAAGTTTACTAACACGCAAAAATGAAGCGGCTGAGTCTGAGGAGGAACTCGGAATTGCCCTGTGAAGTCAGCCGCGTGTACATGCTGCAGAGGGGTGAGAGTGATGGAGAGGAAGCTCTCCCTCACTGTTAGGGCCTGAACTCCTTGCTTTGCAGAATGGCCTCCTCCTGGGGTGATGGTCGGGGGCCGGGGAGTGGGTTTGGGGGATACTCTTCCTGCTGTTCCTTCTTACCTTCCAGGTCTCAGCTTAAAGGTCATCTGCTCAGAGAGGCTCTCCTTGACCCCCTAAGGTAGGTCCAGGCATTAGTACCTCTGCCCCGCTTGTCCCCTGTGGAGCATTTCATGTAACTTGCAGTCATTTTACTTCAAGGTCTGTCTCTCCCTGCTTGACTGTATGCTCCCTGAGGGCGAGGCCTATGACTGTCCTGCTCACAGCTGTGTCCCTGGCATCTAGCCTCGTGTCTGTGCCCCTGCAGGCACTCACGATGTATCTGCTGAATGATGGAATAGATGAACACAGGACTGGGGTGGTGCACAAACAACTGGGGCTCGGTTCACCTCTGCCTTAACTGGCTGTGTGACCTCAGGCAAGTTGCTGCCCTTCTCTGGGCTTCTTCCAAGCCTTGATGTAAGTATAAATATCCAACTCTATTTAAGGATTGGCTTTATCCTTCCTGAATATATTAGGACCAATTTAAGGGAAAGTGATAGAAGCTGGCATCTTTACCAAATTATACCTTAAGTCAACAGCTGGTTGATTATTCTGATGATAATATTGCGATGATTTCCCCAGGAGTCACTGATGTGCAATGAACCAAATCGTATTCCTTATTCAATAAACTCTTTTATTGTAAGTTTACAGATTTTTCCATTATAGTAATGAAAACAGCACTAGTGATTTGTTAATACTTCGGCCCAAATCAAAGGGGACCCCCTCCTCAAATTATAAGGTAAATGACACAAATGTTGGACAAAAGGAATTTCAAATATAGAAAATGGGGTCAAAATTTTGTGTGCGTGTGCAAACACATTAAGGTTTAGTTTATTGGGATGATACTGTTTTTGAAAGCGCATGATTTTGAAAACTATATTTTTAATCTGTGATAAAACATAACCATAGAGAAAAGGCAAATCAAGCAAAAACCAAAAAAAACCCCTCAAAACGAAAGGAAGTGGATCAAATACACAAGGTTGCAATACAAACCTCTGGTGCTGTGGCCCTGGAATGGCAAGTGAGTGGGCTTCACAGAAATTCTCTGTGGAAAGGAATGCTTGGGCCTGGCGTGGCCTTGCTGCATCTCCAAGTCCTGTCTCCTCACAGAGGAAAAGAAGTTGCTTGTCCAATACATCTGCTGGGATGGCCAGGCAGGGGACCACATTCCCAGTCCCTTTGAGAACAGCCCCAAATCCCGAAAAGGCGTCTCAGGGAGCAGCAGGGAGTCAGGTCAGCCCCCATCCCTGCCAGAGCTGTCTGAGTGGTTCACAGGGAGTGGGTGGGCCTCTGTGTTGAACACCCAGTCTTCCAGGGAGAGCATGTCATCTTCAGAGAACAGAAGATAGAGGTACCTGTACCGCGGTAGAGGGTGGGGAGCAAGACACAGCCTGTCAGCACTCCAGGGAAGAGGGTACTTGCTGGGAATGAATTTTGGGGGCCCCTGGGACAGGCCCGTTCTCAAGGGTGCAGGGAGGTCAGAGATCCCAAATCTGCCTGCAAGAGGTCTCTGGGAAGGAGTTGTGGGCACCGAGGGGAGCACTGAGCTTTGGGCAGAAAGACCCAGCTTAATCCTGGCCCTGCCCCCAGCCTCTACTCTGTACCTCCCGCCCAACCAGCTTCATTCTGGTACTTTCCCCACCTGTTAGGACCCCTTATGGCCTGGGCTCTCTTTTATTTGCAGGGGGAGCCTGAGTACTGCACCGGTATTTGGGCTGCCTGCTCACGTTCCAGGAGCCTCGACACTCAAGTGGACTTTCGGGCTCTAAAACGAACAGGGAGTTGCGACTCCAGACCTCCAGCTTTCCCAGCCATTGGGTTTTTTAATGGAAAGAACAGACCATTCCAATCCATTCTCAAGGACTTAAGCACAAGGGGATTGCTTGGGGGAACAGCGAGGAAATGAGGAGGCCAACTTCCATCACAAGGAAGTGAGGGCACCGTGCAGCGGCAGAACTGCTGAAGGACAGGCAGCAGCAGTGACTAGTATTGACACCATCATGGTTATTATTCTACCCATTTTGCAGATGAGGACAGAGTTTCAGAGAATTTAAGTTACCTGAAGAGACAGGTTAAAGAAGTTAGCTTATCACACAGCAAATGCTTAGGGGCCTGGGGTCCAACCTGGTCTCACTCTCTGAGTGGAGAGACTGGCCTGGCCCAAGGCCTACCCCTGATGGTATAACCCTCTGGATCCTAAGCCCCCATCCCTCTGGGGCCCCTCCTGGGTCAGCAGACTCTAACTGCTGGTGAAGGGGGGACTGCTGATCGCCCCCTCCACCCAAGAAGAGCCTGAGTTGCCCTCTTGGAAGGACACCGGCCAAGCCCCAACTCACTTTAGTGTCTCCGCTAGAAAGAAAGTCTGCTGCTTGTTGTCGTGGTTGGGAACCTTACTGTATACATCTTGGATCCCGGAGAACCCGGCTTCTGTCCGACAGTATTTCTCTAAGGCCTGAAGAAAAGGAAGGCAGCTTTGGTGTCAGGAGAGAGGCCCCCCAAGACCTGTGCCTGCCCAGCTCTTGGGCAGGCAGGCCCCCCCACCCTTGGCTGGGGATCCGGCACTTGTGAAAGCAGCAGGCTGAATTACTCTTTAAGGGTTCATCTGCCCTGCCCAGATCTGGAGGAGCTATGCTCCCTGGATCCACACCGAGAACTCAGTCCCTGCCTGCCCTGAGCTCTTCATCTGGTGTGAACTTAGAGGAAGCTTCTCTGCCTCTCGGAAACTAGACTGACCTGGCAGACTCACCCACAGAGGTCAGGGAAGACACTGGTGATGTTTGTGGGCTGGGATTTGGGGACTGGACTTGGCATGTCCCAGGGATTCCCTGTAGAGATGTAGTCCCTGGGCTAGAGGCTGTGTCTGCCTTTTGTATAGAAATGCAATTTTTACGCACAGAGGGTCTGTAGGTGGGGCCCAGGAGCACAAAATGCTCGGCCTTCAATCAAGAAACAGGGTCTTCAGGAAAGCAGGGGGACCCTGGCCAATGAACATGTCAGTGAACCTGAGCAGGCCCTGTGCCCAGCTGAGTATGGTGCTCTGGGTGTGGGGCTCTCCCCAGGACAGTCTGTTCCTCCGAGAGCAGTGGGCCAGGGGAGAACAACAGAGAAGGCTCAGCACCCATCAAGGAACCTTCTTAAGTCCCCACACCTGGCTTTGACATCTACACCAAAGGGGAGAGTGGATGGGGGTGGGGGCAGAGCGCAGAGATGGATGGGGCTGCCCAGGGCTGGTCTGGCTTTGGGAAGAGGGAGGTGAGCCAGCAGCCCTTTCCTGTTTGAGAGGAAAAATCTAAAGTCATCTGTCCAGGCTCCAAAAAGCAATGACCACGTGTGTGCTGGGCTGCCTCTGGCTGTCACCCTGAGTTTGCCCCTCTAAGTTTGCTGACACTGGCGCAGGCACCAAAGGCTACTGGGCACTCAGAACACTCTTCACGAGTTCCTGGCCTGCTTCTGCACAGCTGGGGACTCTTGGCTCTGCAACCAAACTTTGACCCTCTGCACTCTGAATCTTAGCCAGATGCCAGCCTGGCTTGACCGACTGTGAATTCTGCCACCGGTTTACGCACCTCCCCCTGCCACTCACCATGACCACTTCCCAGCCCCACTCCCTGTAGATGGGGTTGTGGGTCTGCCGCCACAGGTACATGTAGCTCTCCACCACCTCCGGCCGCAGGATGTAGTAGCTCTCACTCATCTGTGTGGCCACAGCCTCTCTGCCGGAGTTGAACCAGAAGGCCTCAGGCCCCAGTTTGGTATCTGTGGAAAGACCAATCCGGAGCCTGGGTCAGAACTCCCACCTCCTGCTCCTCAGGATCCGCTGTCCCAGGAGAGATGGATGTTGTCTGGGAGCCCTGGCTGGGGTGCTGGTTGATGATGGACTGGCACGGGGTGGGCCTGCGTGGTTTGCCCAATGAGGCCGAGCCTGGCAGTTGCACAGCTCCCCTCTTGGCCCAGGCTGGCCAAAGCAAGACCCTGAGGCCTCAAAACTTTCATAGTTTAGAACCCAAGAATCCAAATGAACTTCCCAGCAGTCCAGGGAGACAAAGGTTTGGGTGGGGTTCTCCCAACTGTGTATTCTGAGACGTTAGCTCTGCAAGATGTTAACCAGAGCTCAGCCAGGAAAGGGTTGCAGGTTTAAACACACTTGGGGAGCAGTGGGTTATATAAAGCGAAGGTCTCCTGCCTGCAGGACTTATCAGACCCTTTAATTTGCTAACTTGCAAGTTCTCAACTGATCCCCTTTCTCTGGGAACTGCTTCTGACACTTCCCAGAACCAGCCTTCCAGAGCTGACAGTTTGGGAGACTGCTGAGGTGGAGATGAGGGAAGATTTGCCCAGAAGGGACATATTCGGGCAGAGGGAGGCTGAATAAAAAAGGCCTTGATGAGGTCCGGGCTTTGTTGTTGTCACTGTTTGTTTTTGGACAATTTGCTGCTGTTCCTGTTTTTTGGAATGATCACCACGATCACCGCCACCGCAGCCACCATTTATGGTTTCAAGGGCTGTGCTGGGTGTTTTACATACACTATTTCAAAACTCTAAAAATGTTATTTTGGTAAGGCAGATGTTATCTCCCTCTCACACATGTGGAAACTGAGAGTCAGAGAGGCTATGTAATTTGTCCAAGGTAACACAGCAAGTTGTGGCTGAGCTGGGATGTGACCTGGGATCTGTCTGATGCCCTTCCCCCAGGCTGTCCTCTGTTTCTCTCCTGGGTCTGACTCACTAGCCCCCAAATTTAGGGTATGTGGGTCCGATCGTTCTCTCTCTAATGCCTCCACATCCTACAGGTCAGCTGAGGGCCCAGCCCTGGTCCTCATTCGTGCCCCCCACCTCCCATCAGGATTCAGGACCCCTAGAGATCCTGGGCTGCTTTTCCTCAAGATTCAGATTGGAGCTTTGCAGGACATCCTGTTCTCTCATGGAGGGCTTCCTGAAGTGGAATTAGGCAGACCTTAGCCCCTCTGATCCTCTCAAAGGGTGCAGCTGCTCCTGGCCATCAGGGAGCAGTCGTTTTGCCAGGCTGCTAATGGGGTGAGGGCAAGAGCGCCTGCTGCAGCCATCCGTGGGCGAGCCGGGCTGGCTGGAACAACACGCTCTATTAAGTGGACTGTCTTTTATGGTCTGGGTTGATTGTCCTCAACAAATAGAAAGCTTTTTATTATTCCTGAGATTTCCTGTTTGTTTATGGTGCTGGCAGAGACAGCTCTTTGAAGGGAATTGAAGACCAGTTGTAAGGACCCATTGCAAATGGCTGGCTTCCTGCGCAAAGCTCCAGGAGCTCTGGATTCCACCAGCGCTCACGGTCACGCTTTCGCTGGACCGTGAAGAAACACCTCCCACGCTGTGGGCTGAAGGTGGCTGGCCAGGAACTTCCTGTGGGACCCTCTGCCTCACCTGGGAGACTCATGTTACGGTCCCCATTGAACAGATGAGAAAACGGAGGCCACCACCTGGTGAGTGGCAGAGTGGCACTGGAGCCAGGAATTTTTACTGCAAAACTTGGGTCCTCTCCTCCAACCAAGGCTCAGATTACAACTCAGAGCAGTGGGCCCCTTATGGGGTCACGGGGGCTAGGGCTTTTTCTGAGGGGCACTGTTTAGAGAGGCAGCACACAAGGTGGGGCTGGGCATCAGAAGACCTGGGTTCTAGCTCCAGCTTAGCTACTAAGGTGCAGTGTGGCTTTGGCTGAGTCCCTACCCTGCTCTGGGTTGACTCAGTTTCCCCACATGTAACATGCAGGGTTGGGCTCATGTTCTTTAACGTGGCTTCTGAGTCCTGCATTTGACAGTTCTGCTGTGAGTGCAGGTGGGGATAACCCAGGAGCTCTCAAGCTCTTTGGGGGTCTTAGATCAAAGGATGATGACAGGGTGGTGCCAGATGGTGGTGAGATCCCCTAAATGGGAGGGTTCCAGGGAGGAAAGGCAGAGATACATTTGGCGGTAGGAGCTCAGGGAGAAGGAATTTGTTAGGCTCAGGAGGTCAACGTTTCTGCCTCAGGACCTGGAGGGCCCTCTGCTCTGTGCCTCTCACATAGGACCTTGGTCCTGTCATCTCTGAGCCTCAGTTTCCTCATCTGTGTTTCAAGGTTCAGTGATGATGTGCGTCAGGTGTGAATGACACCTGGCACACCCAAAGTTCTAAATCATAACTGTGTTCCCTTTAATTGTGACAATCTCAGTGTGGGGATAACACACTCCTCATTCAAATTCTGTGTCAAGTCCCAGGTGAGGCTTCCCTAAGGCCAGTGACCTTCACTCACTGCCACTCTGCAGGTCTTTCCAGTTCTTTCCAGTGTCTAGCCTCAGTCTTTCCTGCTGCCCCTTCCCCTTGCAGGGTTACCTGAGCGGGCGTACGATTCGTGGCACGTCTTGGTGATCTGGGCCGCGAGCTCTCGGTAGTGGGCCCTCTTTTCTTCCTTGGCATCCTCAGCGCCGAGGGCGATCATGCCCCCGGAGAAACAGGCCAGGTGCCCCATCTTGTGGTCCAGAATCCCCCCACGCCACTCAGCAATGTAGGTCAGCCCCCCGGGAGAGACATTCAGCAAGTGGGTCTCTATTGCCTGGGAGCAAGGTGGGAATTGGGCAAGGAGGAAGGGTGTGGGAGGGTACAGAGAAGGGAAGGGAGAGGATGGAAAATGAACATTCTGGAGACAGCAGCGAGTGCAGCTCTGTCGAGCCCTCCATCCCAGGCAAAGGAGGCCTGCTGACCTCGGCTGGGGGCTGTTCCTGATGGGGCTGGCGGGAGGTTCTGCCACTCACCCAGCTGAGGCCTGGTGCCTGCTGGGGGCTTAGACACAGACAGCTCCCCAGGGCAAGTCTCTTACACAGACTTTTAAATCTTCTACATTCAAAATATTTTTAGGAAAACATCTTTAAAAAATCATTATCATTCTCCATTATATTCTCTGATAGGGAATCTGAACCTGAAGCCCAGTTGGCCTGTGGATGGATGAGCCTGAGGCGGTCCAGAGTACCCTCAAAATTGTAAGAGACACTTTGAGGGTATTTTCATGGGAAGAGGGTCCATATATTTGATCAGCTTCTCCAAAAGGACCCGCAGAAAATAAGAGCTGCTCTTACAGGCCCTTCCTTATCACATGCTTCCTCATTCAAGGCCCACAAGTCAGGTACATGGGCTGTAGTGGCCCGTGTGGACAAAGGGGTCAAGCGGCTTGCTCCAGGCCGCCCAACACACCAGGCTCAGGACAAGGACCCCCAGATGCCCAAGCACAGTCCTTTCACTACCCGACAGCTGCTTCTTTCGGTGGCAAGGGGCTTTGAGAACCCTCTGCTGCTCCCACAAAAGGTGATGCTGTTGGAAAAGGCTCCTGGGATGTTGGGGGGTGTAGGTGTCAGGCCATTGTGCCTCCAACTTCCTGCCGTTAGTCTCTGGGAGCCACCCACACAGTCACAAGGCTGGACTCGATGAGCCTGTGGGTCCTCATCTAGGGCAGAGCCTCTGGGGCTCCGGACTGGGCCTCTGACTCTACTCTTGTCCCTCCAGGCTGTTCTCCGGGGGTGGGGGGTGCGTGGTCTCTGCACTCTGTAAACAGCAGACCAGACTGTGTCTCCTGCCTGTTTAACAACTCCCACAGTTTCCCAGGGCTCTCAGACAAAAGTCCAGCACTCCTTGATCTGTATCTTGAGGTTTAGCCTAATGCCTCAAACATGACGCCCAGGTGCCCACTCCTCTGGTTCAAACCCCATTTCTACCAGTTCCAAGCTGTGTGACGTTGGGCAGGTTCTATGTTCTCTCTGTGCCTCAATTTCCTCATGTATAAAATGGGGATAAGAGCATGAACTGCTTCATAGGATTGTGAGGGTTAAACTGGATGTGTCTGCAGAGCTTAGCGTATTTCTCAGCACAGGGAATCTTTAATAAATGCTGGCTATTATAATTCCTCTCCAGTCTGCCCTGGCCCTCTCTCCTTCTGCCCCTGCCCCAACCACATTGGCCTCTTTTCATTCATGTGCCACCCACCCCCCACACTTCTCCCTCAATGAAATTTTCGGAGCGCTGTGTTCAAGGCCGGGGACACAGCCCTGAAGACCAGCCTGGACCCAGCCTCAGGGAGCTCACCTGTAAGTGCAGAGACTTTCCAAAAAAATCAAATAGAAGAATCATGATTTGTGATCAGTTCTTTGGATGAAACAAATTGAGGGGCTAGACAGAAAGAAGCTTAGGGAGGGGTCCTACTTCGCAGAGCGAGGCCACAGAAGTTCTCTGCCCCATGACCGCCACGAAGACCATTTTCCACCTGTCTCAGGGCTTTGCCGCAACCACTGCTTCTCCTGCAAGCTTCTGTCCCAACTCTACCTCCACCTCTGCCTTCAGGTCCCTCCAGAATGCCACTTCCTTGGCAAGGACACCCCAATCTATCCCACTGTGGCCCCGTTACTCTACTACCCTGTTATCTTTCTACATGGTGCTCTTCCGATGTGTGTGTACCCATTTCTATGTGTTTCTGTGGAACATCTGTCTCTCTCCCAGGACTGAGTGCTGGGTGATGGTAGAAGCCACCACCACCAAGCTCCAGCCAATGCCTGGCATGTGGGAGATGCTCAAACATTTGCTCCTTGATATGTTTTTCCCTTTTCCCTCTGTAAGGCCCAGGCTGGTGGGCTGGCTGCAGGACCCTCGCTGAGTGGCAGATGGGGAAGCTCTGATGATGTTAACGCGTCAGAGCACCTGCTCCCCATGGGGAGAAGCACTGGGGAGGCCAAGAGAGCTGCCACCTCTGGGCTGGGCCCTAGTTTCCGGGCAGAGTTGAGTCCACTGCAGCTGCTCTGCGTTGCTAAGCATGCTGGTGTGGGAACGGGTGGCGGGGCTAACCCCGGGTGCGGAAACCTGGTTCAGTTACTCGTTGTCAACACTTAAGAGAGAACACAGACATCGGGGAGATCCCAGGAGGCCTCCCTACTGCAGCTAGAAGTCTGCACCTTCAAGACTGTCTCCCACCAGTTCTTTCTATTTGGGGTTAACCTCAAGCTAAATAATTGTAGTAAAGAGGAAATGATAGGACAGTCTCTCTTTGAGGTTACAAATGAGACAAGCAAATGCAAAGGTTAAAAACAAAACAAAAAACCAAGGCTTTCTAAAACCCTAAGCGAAACACAGGACAGAACAGGCTGGCAACTGACTGGTAAAAAGGCTAAAGTCATAGCAAGAGGCATAGCAAAGAGCTGAGTTTGAATCTCAGTTCTGCGGTCTGAGAGTTGGGTGCCTTTGAGCAAGTTATTTCACTTCTCTGAAAACTCCGCTTCTTCATCTGTAAAATGGGAATAATAACTCCTGGGATGGTCATGAGGCGGGCTATTCAAAGACTGGCTCAGCACCTGGCACTGACTGTTCCTTCCACTGCCTCCTGGAGGGCACTCCACCTGCACACGCCTGAGAGGGCCCTCAGGCCAAGCAAGACCCTCTGTGATCTGGCAGCTGGTAAGCGGAGGCAGGAGCCCTGCATGCGGAGTCAGTGAGACTCGTGTTTGCGCCCTGGCTCTGACGCTTGTTGCTATGTGATCTTGGGTGTTCTGAGTCTCGGTTTCATTATCTGCAAGAAGCGGGTAAATAAGACCAGCCACCCAGCATACCTGCCCAGAGGGGCCTGCGGGGACAAGAGCTCCCTGTTCTTCTCGTTGCCCCCTCTCCCATGACCCCCAAGGGTGTGCCCGGCCAGCCTGTCTGAACCCCCCACGCCCATCCTAGCTGGGCATTGCTCTACCCAGCACACAGGAGCCCCTGGGGCAGCTCTCAAGGCTGTTGCTTGGGCCCCAGCCCAGAGGTTCTGAAGTAACCTTGTTGGGGTGCAGCCTGGGCATTGGGATTTTATAGCTCCCCAGGTGATTTTTAACATGGCAACAAGGTTGACAACCACCAGAACATTCTTCAAAGCCCCAGACTCGCCAGAGGCCCAGCCTTTATCCAGGGTCAGAGACACTGCAGGCTCTTCACTGGGGAGATCAAATGCAGGAGCAAAGCTGAGTTCTCTCCTGTTCAATCAAGTGCTTCTATAAAGCTCCCCGTTTCCTTAAATAATTCATGGCCATTTCTTCCCTTGAAGCCTCAACTACAGTGTGCCCTGAGGGCTAGGAACCGGGCTGCTCGTTAACTTTATGTTTACTCTGCAAGGAAGGCAGAAAGGGCAGAAAGGGCCTCTCCAGGCAGCACACCCTGCCACCGGCTGAACCTGAATGCTAATCCCTGACAGGAAGTGCCGGCTGCAGTTGAAGCTCAGCCGCAGAAGCTCAGAGTGAATGGGGCTGAGCCGGACTGAGCTGGGACTGGGGTCCCAGAAGCTGCTTCATGACTGAGGTCTTGGTGCCAGGGAGCTGGGCAGGGAAAGTTTATCAGCAAGCCCACAGTTTAAAGGATGTACGGCCTGGGAGGCCTGTTCCAATGTGCTTCTTTTAAAGACTACCATTCCTGGCCAGATTCATGTGATCAGACTGTAGTTGTATATCATTCATCCATCCAATCAACTGCCCACACCCATATCTAACCACCGATCCACCCATGTCCACCTATCCATCCATCCTTCCATCCATTCACTCATCCATTTATCCATCCATCCACTCACTCATCCATCCAATCATCTATCTGCCCACCCACCCATCTATATCCTTCTTGCCTTCATGCCTTCTCGCCCTCCCTCCTTCCTTCCATCCATCCATCCATCCATCCATCCATCCATTTGTTCACAAAATAGTGATTGTATGACTCCTAGGTACTAGGCAGGTACCAGGCATTGTTTTGGGAGTGGAGCATTCAGGGTGAATGACTAGACAAGATCCTTGCTCTAGACAGCTCAAGAAGATAGACAATAAACAAGAAACAAATATGCACACATGATCATTTTAGATGCTGATAAGGGTGAAGACGACTAATAATAATAATCCTAAGGTATGTGAAAGAGAGAAGCCAGGAAAGGCTAATTTCAATGGCATTTGAGTTGACCAATGAGCAGGATGCAGCCATTTGAATTAATATTCCAGGTAGAGCGAGTACAAAAGCCCTGAGGTGGGAATGAGTCTGATGTGTCTGGGGAAGGCAGGGACCAGAGCTCAGAAAGTAAAGGGGAGAGAGTTCAGGTGACTGGCAGGCCCAGATTAAGGATGGTGGGCAGAGGTGAGGAGCCTGGTTTATTCCCAGTGCTAAGGGAGCCACAAAGGGAGGGACATGCATTTCCAGCTCCTCTGGCTGCTGTGAAAGAACTGACTTAGAGGGAGGGTGAGGGGAAGCAAGGAGTCCAGTTTAGGGGACATAAGGTAGTGGCTTAGACCAAGGTGGCAGCATCCAACTTGATCAATGTACTTTTTGAGGAAACTAAGGCCTGGAGCCTGCCCAGTGCCTTTTGTTCAGTTGGGCTCAAAGGTATCTATTAATGGGCTGATGGGATTCCATAGGCCCCTTCCCAACAGCCCAGGCTAACCAACTCCCCATATGTTCTACAGCCCCTGCCTCCTTGGAGGGACTCATCTGAGCCTAGCATCCTTGTTCATCCCACACTCCATGGACAGACCAGGGGTGCTGAGGGACAGCGGGGAGAGCTTGGGGGCTGGCTTAGGAGACCTGGCTCTAGCTCCAGCTCCTCCAGTTCTGCCCTGTGTGGCTTCCCCTCTCTGGGCCTTGGTTTCCATCCACATAATGAGAAGGCACAGAACTGGAGGCCCCTCCCAGCTTGGATGTGCTAATTATGTCACTTCTGGTTCAGCAGGAAGATAACTGAAGGTCTTACTTTGGCAGCCTCACTTGGGGGCTCCTAACCTACCGTCTGGCTGTGCTCTGGGCTCTGACACATCACCTGAAGCACAGACGCTGTGGTTTCTGAATCAGACTGCCTGCTGCTTCCTGTGAGACCTCAGACAAATGACTTCACCTCCTAGAGCTTGGTTTTGCATGTGTAAAATGAGGCCGCTCACAGGGCCCTAATTTCAAGGTGTTTGAGAAGAGTCACAAGATAGGGCGTACAAAGTGCCAGGCTGGGGAGGGGACTGTCTGGCTGTTCCTCTGGCCAGCTAACCCGGAGTGAGGGTGGGGGGTGGGGGTCTCTCAGGAGAGACCAGGAGCCAATGACCAACCACCCATGAAGAATCAGGTGCCATCTTACCTCCAAAGCTTCGTAGTACATATCTTTAGCCTCCGTATCTGTCTTGGCCGACATCAGCCAGGATTTGATCAAATATTCATAAAAACTGTCCCCGAGTCCTCCAACCGAGACGTGGTCTATGAGGGGAGAGAGGACAGGAACATGATCGCCACTTGCTGAGGCCAGCGGTGGGACTAACCCTGCGCGACTTGCCCGCCAGCTTTGGTGGGGAGCGAGCATTTAATCCTCAGCCTGTAAGCCCTCAGCAGAACAGGGGATGAGGGAGGCACAGCCTCCGACTGGGGAAACCAGGGCTGATTTGAGCATGCTTGTCCTGCACAAAAGTGCAGAGGCTTATCCAGCTGCGATAAATCACATGGCTTTGGTAGGCTGAGGACGGCAGGGCCTCTGGTTATCAACTGTAAGTGAGTTGCATTTCTTTAAAAAGATAATCCGGTAGCAGGAAGTTCAGAGATTTTTATTACCCGGTGACAAACATGGTAATTAATGCTGGGCAGGTTCATAAAAGGCCATGGAAAGGAGCACTGAGAGGCTTAATTTAGTTGGTCAGAGCACAGAGCCCTTCTGAAAAAGCCGAGTTTAAATTTAGCAAATTGGGACAAAGGGAGTTCAAAGGAGCAGGGGGAGAGGAGGGAGGGAAAACCAGGTTGAAGACGCCTCCCTCTGACCTGGTGGGGCAGGACCTCCAGGAGTGAACAGGTGTCCCCACCCAGGGCTGTCCGAGGAAAGAGGGCTGACAGAGGAGCACTTAATTGCAGAAGACAAGGAAACACTTCACTCACTGACTCTAACAATTAACAGCAGTGAAACATAAAGGCGTTTAATAGATACAACAAAAAGCAAACTGCAGTTCTCTGTTAAGCAGAGAAACAGAGAGAGGAAGGGAAGGGGGTGGATTAAGGCAGAGTTGGGGGAATGGGAAGAGGAATTTCAGCTCCTCTGGAGAAAGAGTGGGTAGAAAGAGAGAGGAGAGGGAAAGTGGGGTGGGGGAAGAGAGAAAGAAATTGAGAATACAGCAACAGTTACCATTTGCTGAGGCCGGGAGCTTTACTGGATTATTTCCAACAATATTCCCAAGAATCCTGTAAGGCAAGCACTATGAACCCTATTTCCCAGATGAGAAAAGTGAAAGTTGAGCCTAAACCGCTCAGCCAAAGCCACCAAGCTGGTAATGCTCTCACTTTCTGCATCTTTACACAGTCAATCAGAGAATGAAAACAGACAGAAAGAAAGGATAAGTGTGAAGAAAGAAGGACCAAAAGTCGGAGGGTAAAGACAGATGGGAACCAGGAAAGGGGGTGACCGGAGGCCCCCTCAGTAAACCAGCCCTTCAGGGCCCCAGCCAGCCCCTCCATAAACAAATCCTGGCCCAGCAGGGGTTCAGCAATGGAACAAGCACTTATAAAAATGGGAACAGATCAGATAAAGCTTGGGGAGACGTGGGAGGGGGTGAGTATGGCTGGACTTCGTTAAGTGACAAGAGAAGATGGAACCAGCACAGCATCCTCTCCCCCATCCTCTGCCCTGGCAACCCCGTTCCTAGGGGGAGGACACAGCTGAGGCAAGCACAGAAATGGGGCGGACCTGTGCCAGGCTCGGGATGTGGATGGTGTGTCCACGGCTGGGGCAGGAGGTCTGTGCAGAGGAGGGTGTGGGGAAGCTGGAGGTCAGAGCGGGTCAACCTCCACAGAAGGGGCCCTGGCTGGGCACACAGCCGGGGGCATGGTCACCACACTCACCTCCCGGGCCTGCCTCCTCTCACTGTTTTTCCTCCACCCCAGATACTGCTAGCATCTCCCTCCCTGCTGCCTTCCATGCTTGAGCTCACCTGTGATGATCCTCTGCCAGGGATACCCCTCCCCACCTTGCGTGGCTAATGCCTCCTTGCTGCTTCACCTTCAGCTCAGGAAGGCTTTTCTCCATGTCCCACAACACTGAAGTTTCCAGCAGCAGCTGGCCCACATTGCTGGGCGTGAGCCTTGCCCTTGGCTGCTCCCAGCACTGTGTTCTCAGCACCTGTTAGTGAGTCTGTCCCCCACAAGGGCTGTGGGGAGGGACCACGTATGACTCACATTCATGCCCAACACATGTGAGGCACACAGCAGGTGCCCAGCGAGCCCTGAATGAGCAGAAGGCAGGCAGGGAAGGGCCTTGAATGCCAAGCCAAAAAACCTGGACTTCATCATATGACTGCAGACTGTGTGAGTGACAAGATTGAGGGCTTCACCTGGCAGGTGTGTGCAGGAGAGGGTAGGCAGGACGCAGGAGTTCCACAGGCAACTGAGACATGACAGCCTCTTGGGGATATGTGTATAGTCTCCCAGGGACTTGGCTGGAGGTCCCACTGCCGTCTAGCCATTGTGTGTGTAGTGTCTTCCCTGGCAACATGGGGCACACGGGGAGAAGAGCAGGAGTGGGAATCAGAGACATGGATCTGCCACTGGCTCAGGGCAAACCAGTACTCCCTGGGCCTCAGTCTCCTGATCCGTAAATGTGAAAGGCACACAGTTGGTGTGCTGAGCCCTAGAGCAGAGGTGTGTTCTGCTCTTCCTGTCCAAGTCAACAACTCCCATCACACTCCCATCACACTCAGCAGCAGGAGGCAGCCACCCTACAAGCCTGGGAAGCTGCCGGCAGAAAAGCAGCATGAAGCTGGGGGAGGCCGCCAGGCTGGAGCTGATGGGCAGCTCACGCTTCTGCTCCAGGGGAGAATATGCACTTGCCGCTTCTCTCTCACCAAGGATGTGGGATTCAGGCAGTGGACAAGGAGGACGGGCCACTCCAGGGGCCAAGATGAGGGGCTAGTGGCTCTGTGAGCTCTCAGCAGCTCTGCTGGGGTTGGTCTCATCTGTGTGTGGTGCCAGCAGGAGGCTGGTGGACTAATCCTGGCTGTGAAATCCTAGTGGCGGGCTGTTCTGGCCTCCTGTTACCCTAAAGCGCAGCTTCAGGCAGGAGTGGGGAGCAGGCAAGAGCAGAGGCCTGGGGCTGGGATGCAGCCCTGGTTGTCCCTTGACTCTCTTAAGTTGCAATTTCTGTGGTTGCAAATGGGCTACACAGAGGACTCAAGGGGAGAAAAGAACACAACTTAGCTTATACAAGTTGGGAATGTTATCATCTATTGAAAAAATACACAATCACTGTAAAAAAAAATGAAAACCACAGAAAACCTGAGATGACCCCAGGTGCCAAAGTCAGAGGAGGAGGAAGGCAGATGCCCAGATGAGCAGGGCTCTTTATAACCTTCCCTCTGCAATTCAGCAGGCCTCAGATTTATATTTTATTAATATGAATCAATTTTCCATATGTGACTGACTCTGTGACCCCTGGTGCAGCCTGAAAAGAAAATTATGCTTGTCAGCGGGTTGGGGGGCCTCCCCTGTAATTTGCCAAGGTAGCTGTTCAGGCTGGGAAGCCACGCCCCTTTCTTTCTTTTTATGGGTTTTGCTGCATTGTCCTGGAGCAGCTAACGCCGGCAGCTGCGTAGTTTATCTCTTTACCCAGTCTGGCCTTGCAATTAAAGGCAGTAACAGTTATTGAACTGTCTCTTCCTGTGGCCATAATCTGTAATTCAAACCTTCATCTTCTCCCAGCACTTTGGAATTTGGCACTCTGTTTTGGTTGAAAATACTTTGCATTTCTATAAGCAGTTTTTACAGGAGGCTCCTTAAGAGTGAGGTCATTACCAAGGAAAATTCCTGGGTCTAATTTTCTGGGCTTCCTGGACCTGTGGATCATGGAAGCTCTGGGTTAGAAGGACGGGCCTCTGTAGCTTCCTCACAGTATATTTGCAGGCTGGCCAGCTGGCCCTCCAGGCCCCATGGGCATACTTTTAGTGATGGGCGCTCATTACCTTTTGGGACAGCCCCACGTCATCTTTGGAAGACAAGTGAAATCTGCTTCCTGCAAGCTTCTGATCATCATTCCCACATCTCTCTAAGGTACATTAAGAACATTAAGAATCTGCTCTTCTCCCATTTTGCAGGAGAGGAAACTAAGGCTCAAAGAGATAAAGTGAATTCCCCCAGCTGTGCAATGATTAGACTAATGTCTATTTTCTCCTGAGCCCTTGCTGATGCCATAAATGGGGTTGGAGGCAGGGAAAGGGAGACTGGCCCTTGTTTGGGTAGAGGCAGTGGAGGTGGGGCTCTGTGCAAGTGTTGGGAAGTTCCGAGAGGCAGGCCCCTTAGAACCCGCCACCACCAATTTGTGCTGTGACCACACGACCAGGGCCTTGGTCAGGAGGCCAAGGCAGAGATTTGCTTCTTATCAAGGGTGCTATCCTGGGGGCCCCTAGCCCCTTTCTGTTTCAGTGGGTGGAACTGGGGGCTGTGAATGAGAATCCACAGGTGACCCACAATTGTCTGGTTGAAAAAAAGCCTCTGAACATAGAACAGCAGGAAATCCTGGGATTGATTCTTACAGGTGGAAGATACCAGTGATGAGTTCATGATTTTTATAATTGCTTTATAGTTAGGATCTGATTAAATATTTTTTAAAAAGTTAAAGTTGGAGGTGGGGAACCAGATCAAAGGGGCTGGGAGAAGATGCATGGCTTTTCTCGGAGCCCCTTTTGTAGTAAACATCTATCTGGAACACTCCTGCAAGTTTGGGGGATGATGAAGGAGGCTGCAGTGGGCATGGTAAGAAGTGGAAGGCTGTAGCCTTGATGGAAGGCTGGAGACAGCCAGCATGCAGGGGATGCACAGGGAAGGGCCTTCCTATATGGCAGCCATCATATCTGTCACAAGGGCAATGAGAGCAGTGAATACTCCCCCCGATGTCTGGCAGGCAGGTGGTATCCAGGAGCCTCGAGCAAATGCCTCACTGGTAGGTGGCTCTGATAAATGCATCGCTCCTCACTCTGCCCAGGGTGCCTCGCACAGTGGGGCTGGGAAGCTTGGCAGGAGTCTGCTGAAGGAGGGGGCAGCAGCGGCCTGGTACTCACGTTGCATCCAGTTCCCACTCACTGGGCTGAGGAAGTTGGGGTAGAGGCCGAAGGGCTTGTCAATCTTCCTAAGGACCTTTCGGATATTCCTGACCTGCCGAGAGATGGACACCAGGCACATCTTCACTTTCCCTGGGAAGCCTGCCAACTCCCAGCTCACTGAGGATGGAGGCAGCTGGTTTGGGTCCAGAGAGGCAGGAAGGGAGAGTGGAGTAACCAACAGCTGGTTCCACCCGGAGGTGTGAGCTGGCCCTGCCCTGTTGCTCAAGTACCAGGTGGGGCATGACCCCCACCTCTGCACTGACTGCTCTGCCTGGGGCCCTGCCGGTCCCCACCCCTCACCCCTTCCTCATTGTGTGTCCCTTCTGAGGACGAGTCTTTTTAGAATTGGGTTGGTATAAGTGATAGTAACTCATTTGTAAGTGCTAGACAAAACTGCCTTTTTAATAGGTCAGAAATGGTTAAACTCTGGCAATTTCATATGGTTCAGCCTGGTAATACGTTATTTTATCTGACACCGTAGGAAACTTTCCAGAGAAGCCTGGGCTCCTCAACATTCCTGTTTCCCTAACAGGTATCTCAGGGTTTTAATAACAATAACAACAGCTGTTAACATGTCTCAGTTCCTCTGAGCCATATATGATCTCCAACTCTCATAACTACCTATACAGTACTATTATCTCAGTTTAACAGACAAGACACCAAATCTCAGAGGGGTTCAGTCACTTGCCCATGGTCACAAGGTTTTAAGTGGCAGAACCAGGACTTGAGTCAGGTGCATCTGATCACTCAGAGCAGCCCCTAGGTCTGACACGCATCAGGGCAGGGACCATGCAGCAATGCGTAGCAGAGGTCACCCCATCTGGAGCAAGAGGCTGGATTTGCAACCTCTGGGGGTAGGAAGGGAGAGAGGCGGGATGGAGGAAGGCATTATCCATCGGCGTGTGCTGTCTGGCAGTACACGGAATTCTCCCAGTACAGACTCTGCAGGACAGAAGGGCCCTCGGGGACTGAACTGTATCACGCTCGCAGATTTACCTACAAGGCGAGGAGCAGGGAAAGCAGGCTTTCAGCTGTCAGACCTTTCTTTCCAGGGGACGGCACTTTGCTTTGCCACATCAGATCTCATATCCATTTATGTTAACGGAGTCCATTATCAGGGACAGGAGTGTGCTTGTACCTGAGTTATTCTCAACTGTTCTGGTGGTGAGCAGTGAAGCAGGCTAAATTAGCTCCCCCAGAGGGTACGAGCGCTTCTAGAATTTGGGCCAATTTGTTGACTGCCAATAATCGCCTCTGTGGGAGGCATGACGAGGGATGAAAGTAGCTGGAGAATGTAAATGTAGAGAGAGACAGACAGGTGGATGGACTCTTGAGATAAAGCCTGAAGCCTGTTACACTGATCTGGTCTTGAAAGTATGTGGGCTTCAGAGCTGGAAAATCTTGGGTTTCAGTCTCTACTTTATCACTTACCAGCTGGATGACCCAGGACAAGTGATTGAACCTCTCTGAGTCTTAGTTTCCTCTTCTGTAAAATGGGGATAACAGAAGACACACACCTCGTAGGGTTGATGGGAGAATGAGAGCTACTATTTGGTACCCTACACATAGTAGGTGCCCAGGCAGTGGTATCTCCAGACTAGTAGGGACTAGACCGAGCCCTTGTGTCACTCCAACATCACAGCCATGACATTCCTAGAGGAGCCTGGCTCAAGAGCAGTGGAAATAGGGAGGCTGTGGGGAGGGAGGGCCTGGAGGCAGGAAAAAGGATCAGAAAATAAGACCCATCAGAAGTGGGATTGAATTTATTGCATGAGCTGTTGAGCTGGGGCATCCCAGGGAGGCAGAGTCCTCTCAATATAAGGAAAAGCTTCTGAAGGGAGGTATGACAACATGAGGGGCTGTTCAAGGGTAGTAGTGAGCCCCAGCGCAGAGAAGTGACCTTAAGAACATTTGGGTGGATTCCCACACTGAATAAGCAGTGGTCCTAAAAAGCACATGGATGCTTATTTAAAATGCAGATTCCTGGGCCTGGGCGACATTCAGAAATCTTCACCTGCGCGCTAGGTGATGCTTTCAGGCTGGTTGGCTGACACAAAACTGGAAGCCACTGGGCAGAGGTGTGACTCTGATCTCCCAGCTCCCTTGGCATTCTAAGAGACTAACATTTGGGGGAAAGAGAAGGGCTGGGGAGTGGGGGCCTCCTTCTTCTTGGAGGGCAGGACTCAGGAAGGGACAAGTGGTATCTGAGGGTGGTGTGTGTACATTTCCCTTTTTTGCGTTTAGGGTTAGACCTATGGAGACACTTCCAGATAGTGGGACTGCCAAGGGCTGTGACACTGAGGAGCTGCTCCTGGAGGGTATCACAGGCGGGCAGGAATGGCCAGCTATCAGGATGGACGAAGGCCTGGATGCCAGCTCTCTGCACCCCTTGTGGCCATAGCCAGCCCAGTAACAATAAGAAGGAACAGACATGTGCCTTTACTGTGGAGTGAAATTGCTTTGCCAGCCTGCTGACAGCACGAGCTAGACAGGCATCTGGGAGGAAAAAGCAGGCAGATCTCACACGAAAAAGTTAAATGTCTCTGGAAAGGGGACTTCTGCGCTGTGTGGCCAATTCCTGCCAACACAAGCTGATGCCTAGTTTTCAGTTGTTGCACGTTCTCCAGATTTCACATACGTGTGGCTGCCACCGAGCTCACACATACCAGGGAAAACCTTCTTGCTGGCAGCTTTGTCTCTTCCCTGCCCTTTGAGGAATCCTGGTTACTCCCTGCACTCACGATCCCTGCCGCCTGGCATCAGGAACAATCACTTGCTACACTGGTGGCGTCTAGAGGCCTGGGGGCTCCCCACCCACTCTCCCTCCAGCCGGCCCATAGTCCATCTCCCTGCCACAGGCTGGGTGGCTCACCCTCTGCTCTCTGTGGGGAAGGGAGAGGGCAGGGAAGAAGACTTGCCTTTTCTGCGAAGACCTGGTTGCCAGAGAGCTCGGTGAGGTGTAAGAACTCTAAGTGCAGGGATCCAAACTCTGCCAGGATGCTGCTGCTCCCTGCCATGGCCCAGCCCCAGCTCCTGTTGGAGCCACTGAAAAGACAGAAGCAGCCACGGTCACCCTTCTGCCGGCAGGACTGGCGCCTCTGCTTCGTGGAGGAGCACCTACTATGTGCCAGGCACTGGACTAGGAGCTTTGCCATACAATCCCAGTTAATCCTCCCTGGCTGTCAGTACTATTCATACCCCCATTCAGCTGATGAGGACACTGAGGTCGGTGAGAGGATGTAACTTGCTGAAGGTCATTTGAACCCAGGCCAGTCTGACATGCAATATTCTGTGCTTTTATTGTCAAGCAGCTTCTGTAAGACATGTGGGCTCCGGAGGGACATTAGCAGAGCTGCCTTGGTGGCCAAGACCTGATACACACGTGATGCTAAATTTACAGCTGAGATTGATAATGCCGTTGGGGACCACAAAGACCCCAAGGAACACTTCATTTCCGTCCACTGGCTGAAGGCAACCCAACGGCTCACAATCATTGCTGCTGTGTGTGGAGGGTAAACAGTGCATGTCTGGGGTCTGAAGGGGGCAGATGAGGAGCAGGGACCCCACTTGGCCCTTTCCCTCCTCCTACAGTCAGTGCTGCCTATGGACACACAATGGCCCCCACCTGGAACTTCGTGGAACCCACACCTGAAGAGGGGGTGGTTCTGCTAAGAGCACACAACTGGGGTTGCTGGACCCTGGGGGAGCCCGAGGTTACGAATGAAAGCAGCAGGGGCTCTCAGAGCAAAGATTTCTGCACACTCTAACCACACAGGTCTCATGAACACCTTAGATGGTTGCCAAAATGACCCTGTGACCTTGCTGGAGAAGCCTGTCAACTAACCGCTTCCTGGTACTGAGTGCTTTTAAGGCAGCAGAGTGAAGAGGCAGGGCCTCGGGTAGTCCTCCCATCTGCCCCTCTCATAGATGAGGAAACCAAGGCACAGGACGGTGATCACACAGTAGGTGGAACAGACCCAAGGCTGGTCTAATGCCGGAGCTTGTCCCAACCACCATGCGGCGGCATCTTCTTTCATTATACAATAAGAGGCAAGGACGCTGCCTTTCTAGGAGCTGTCACTTAAACTCTCCCTTAGACCTGCAATCAGGAGGCGCAGAGCTAAGATTGTGAGCAGTGAGGCCTTGGTCAAACCATTTCCTCCTTGTGTACCTTAGTTTCTGCATTCATCAAACTGGGTATGATAATTCATCTCCATCTCTGTGCCTAGGACTTTGTGGGGATTGGAAGAGAAGAGGAAGGTGCGGATGGGGAGTGGCCTTGGACAAGCTGCTTCCTCTCCCTGACCTTAGCTTCTGCTCATGCATCATGATGCTCTTACCTATGGGATGTTTAGGATAATCGGGGACACGAGGGTCAACCTCCCTCTGCAGGGTTGTGGGGGTCTGGGGGTGAGGGCACAGTGGGGTGGAGTGAGTGCCCCCTATCTGTAGGGGCTCCAAGGTGCAGCCAGTGTGTGGCAGGCTTGGGGGCTGGCTCAGCCTGGGCCTCTGGAAGCCCCTCAGCTTCCTTGCTGTGGAAGCTCTGGCCCATGTCATCCCTCTGTCTTTCAGGGACAGGACTGAGGAAGGCAGGCATGGGTCTGGCAGGTCACAGTGTGCCAGCTGAGGGGCACTGCTTTATCTGGGGTGGGCTGGGGCTCTCAGGAGGCTGCCCTTCTCTCTGATGTGGTTTCCAGGGAACTCAGGAAACTCACCAGTCTCCCAGCTTCCAGAAATAATAGAATCGAGTTTTTGGCTCTTTTGGAGCAGGTGACTTGGATAAACATACCCACTTCCTTAGGTGTTTTCCTGACTTGGGGGCAGGTGGGGAGGGACAGGTTACACAAAGAGGGGAAACCTGACTCTTGTATAGTAAATAAAACACCTTCTGTTTATTGAGCCTTTCCAGATGCAGGCACTGGGGCAAGCTGTTTGCATCACGACTTCATTTAAAGCCCACAAGGGAAAGCATCATTAATCCCTGAGGAAACTGAGGCTCAGAGAGGGAAGTGAGTTGCAGAGGTCAGAGCTGGTAGGTGGTGGAGGCAGGATACAAACTGAGATCTGCCAGCCTCGGCCTCAGAGGTCACTTCCCTCAGGGGTCTCCCTGAGACAGCCCCATATCCCCCTATAATGAAGGGGGAGCTGACCCCTCTCTGTCCCTCTTCCCCTCCCCCCAGGCCAAGAGACTTCTTCTCCATTTTGTGATCTCTGTGAGAGCCACAGGTACCCACAGAGGATTTCCTGAATAATTGATGCTTCCTGCCCTCACAGAGGAACTCAAAGTTAAAAAAAGCCACCAGCGACCCAACCATCTTTTGTTCTCATTTCCCTCTTCACGAGCCTCTCCTTCCTCTTTCCTCTCTCCCAAAGCTTACCCTCCCAAGTGGGCCTCCTGTAGTGGGGCTGCCTGGGCAGAGGTGGACAGTGGGCCGGCCGCCTTCCTTCTCTCCTGCCGGGCTTCAAACACTGACTCCTCCAGTTCCCAGCTAGGGGACTTAGGCAGGTTGGTGACTTTCTCTAGACCTCATCAGTTAAATAACAGTACACACCCCTCATAGAGTCAATTTGAGGTATAGATTATGTGTGTAATTACTGTCATTGTTACCATTATGTAATTACGAACACCTTAATGACACATTGTTTGTTAGAGTTAAGTTCCTGGTATGTGCCAGACAGCTGTGGTGTCTTATTTTTACCTTCACATCCAACTTCATAGGTAGATACCATGATTCTTATTCCATAGGTTAGGATACTCAGACTCAGAGAGGGGAAGACACTTTTCCAAGGTCACACAGTAAGTGATAGAGCTGGAAGAATTGTATCCAAATACAAATTCTAGGTACTTGTGCCCCAAATGTATCTGTTCTAGTCAGCATCCAGAGACCAGGTCTTCTGATCAGCCCTGTGAAGCAATGGGAAGCTCTGCCCCCTGCTCCCCAACCTGCCTTTGAAGTCTGCAAGTGGGCCTGCAGCCTGTGTTCTGTCCCCTGGGGGAGGGGCTGCTCCGCAGTGCCCCTCCCCAGCCTGGTGGAAGCTTCTGAGTATGTGCACACCTATGTATGCATGCACACACGTGTATGGTGTAATCATTAACTCTGGAGCCAGACAGATTTGGATTCTAATTCTAACTCTGCTTTGTTGCTATGTGACCTTGGGTAAGTTACCTCATCTCTCTGAGTCTCAGTTTCTTCACTGTTAAAATGGGGCCCATGTGGTTGTTGTGAGGTGAAAAGAGAATCTGTGTCTTCATGCCTGGGATACAGTAAACATTCAATAAATGCAAGCAATTATTACAATGTGTGTGTCTGTGTGTGACAGGAGCATGTGCATGTACATGCATATTTGTGTGTGAATCTGTGCATAACCATAGAGATGCGAGAGTGTGTGTGACAAAGGAACCCTCTGTTTCTGAGCCTTTACAATTTGGGTGGGTGGCAGTAGAGTGTCTACGTGTGTGTGAAGCTGTGGGTGTCAGAGAATGAGTTAGATTGATTCAGCCGCAGAGGCCCTTGGACTGGCCACTGCCCCTCTCCCAGAGTCTAGTGGTCCCTGTAGGTCACAGATCATGGCTGCCTCTGCCTCCAGGCCTGCCACCAGGGAGCAGGAGCAGTCACACTCACCCGGGGACCACCTTCTCTCAGGGCCCTCCTCACCTGGCAGTCTGGGGACGAGGCCTAGTTACTGCCCCTCCTGCTGGGGCCAGGTCAGAGCTGCCCACAGCCAGCCCTGCTCTGAGCAGAGGCAGCAGTGTGGGCTCAGCTCCCACAGCAGGCCCTCTCCAAAGAGCACTCTCAGCGCCATGCAGGCTGTGTACACCCCTGACGTTTTCCCTGGTGGAACAGGGAGGCACTTTTAGCAACAGACTCTCACCCAGAAAATGAGAGGGAGGTGTTGCCAGGAAATAAGCATATACATACATATGTATACAGCACCGGCAGCATGCAAACAGCCTAAAAATAAATGTACTTTCTTAATCAGAAATGTCAGGATCTGTGTGGCATCAGGTCTGGGCTCTGAGGGACACAGGTAAAGCTGACAGCCAGGGTCGTGGTTTGTGGGGCTTCCTTGGGGGCAGGGAGTGCCATGCATGGAGCAGTGACGTGTGTCTGAGCTAAGGTCTTATCCCGGACACTGTGGTGGGGGGGGTGGTGAGGCCCAAGAAGCTGGACCCTGCACAGCTATAAAGACAAGGTGTTTGGGTCTTGGCTTCAAGACATCTGGCCGTGTTTCTCCAAGATCAATGTTTGTGGGAAAGCAATCTGAGCAGAGATCCAAGTGTCCAGCTCTGAAGAGTCAACTTTGGCACTGAGTTGGGGATTTGATGGGCCCTGAGGGCCCCTCCCTAGCCTACTGTGAGGTTTAAGTGACGTCACACCCCAGGAACGCTTTCCGACCACAGAAGTGGGAGGTGAAGATGCTAAGCAGGCCGGGTCCTCCTTTCTTCTCAAGGCCCTAGAGGGGGGCCCTCCCCAGGACAGACAGGGGGCTGCGGGCACTCTACCCAAAGCCCAGGGCCCCCACCTCCCCTCCAGGTCCTCCTTCCCTTCCCTGGGGAAGTGACTGTCGGACCTCGATCCCTGAGGTAAGAAATCACTTCAGGAGACCGAAGGGGAGTTCAGTGTGATGGAAATATTACAGCCTTCCTCCAGGCCCAGGTTGTAGGAGGGCCTCAAGGACGGCCCCAGAACTCCCCGGGTGTCTTCACTTCCTGGGTCTGCTCCATGCATCACGAGTGGCAGGGTTTCTGTCTGAGGGGAGGCCCGGCCGGCATTAGGAGCAGAGCTTTTGATTCTTTAACAAAATGGGTTAAAACTTGGCCCCAATGCCTGTGAGATAGAAGACAGTGAGCAGTGGGGATAATATAAAAACCTACCCTCAAAGCACTGCTGTGAGGAGTACTTTGGTGAGTCAGACAGCGAAACCCTGAGCATCATGCCAGGCACTGAGTCCCTGCTCGATACATGGCAGGATCAGCTGTCATCACTATCAGTCTTTCCTCCTGCATGCAGTGTCTCACATGAATGTTTGATGAAGGAATGAACAAAGAACTAGATATGGATCCTACCCTCAGGAAGCTCCCTGGCCGGTGGGGGAATGTGAAGATGAGGGTGACAAGGGCCACAGGAAGCAAATAAAGTGCCTGGAGGCCAGGAGAGGCCAAGACGCTTCTGGCTGATGGAGAGGCTGGGCTTGGAAGGCCTAGGGGACTGTGAGAGACAGCAATCCAGGGAGAAACAGAGCAAGGGCAAGCAAGACAGTGGGGCACACTGGGGTCTCCAGGAGCAAGAGTCATGCTCCTCAGTGCCTCTTAAAGCTGGCTGACCACTGTTTCCTTCACTTTGGCCTTGTCCCTTCACCCCCCCGGGTCTCAGTCACTACATCTGGAAAATGAGTGGATATAAATACACTCCCACCCTCACTAGAGGTAAGCAACAGGGGCAGTCCGGGGCAGGTAAGTGCCCTGAAGGCTTTGGAGCTGGACTGAGCTGCAGCCCTGGCCCACCCTGCTCTAGCTGGGTCCCTTCTACCTTCTAAGCCAGCTCTTTGACTTAGTGCACACCCAGAAAGACACTAGTTCACACACCAAATTAAGCAACCGTTCAGGAGGGTAAATAATGGAAGTGACCAATAAAGATCAATGTTTTAAAACAGCCAGTGGAAACAAATATACCAGTGGTTTCTTGATTAGTGGAACCACGTGTGATTTTTTTTTGGTCTTATCCAACAGTTTTGGTATAATCCATGTTTTTTTTTGCAGTGAGAATTTATTATTATTATGGGGGAATTATAATAAATGTTATTGAAAATGGAGTTGGAAATACTGGGTTCATGTCCTGGATAGTTCATTACTGACTTATGTGACCTTGGCCAGGGTCTTTCCTCCTCAGAGTTTGAGCCCCTGTGGCTTGATGTTCCCAGAAGCCCCTCTGGGTTCTGATACTGGGCTCCTGAGACCCAGCGCTGACGGAGACTGAGGGTGCAGGACCCAGGGGGTCCCTCTGCCCAGGGCACTGAACTCCCGGCAGCTTTGGGTTCCTGCTCATGGTGGGAGAGTGTGGTGTGCCTACTGGCCTGGGACTCTAGCTGGGAGGGAGGGTGGCAGGGGCACAGCTGCAGGGCTGTGAGTCAGGGCAGTGTTAGTGTATGATCGCAGAGGCACAGCGGCCCCTGTCTAGGCCAGGAAGATCAGGCCTCGTGCGACCTACACCCAAGAAGCTGGCACTTGTGTGACAAACACCAGCTCAGGTTGAGTCCTTGGCTAAGGCCAGTTTTCTCTGTGCCACTGACTCCCCATGATTCCCATGACCACGGTGGCATTGTCCCCTCTCTGTGCATGTTTCCACAAGATGCAGCCAAGGCCACAAGTGCGGTATCAGAAGGCATCCTACCTTTTGAAGTTCACCACGCCTTTTGGGATCCCTGTGGGGGTGTTGAAGGCTGGCAGGAGTTTCTCCCCCAGCTGGATGGCCTTTATTCGGAACACCTGTAAAGGAAGGGTCAAAGGCATTGTGAATCCTGATGGATAAACCTGCCAAGGCTACTGGGCCCAGAGTGGGAGGTGCATTAGGCTCTGGGGTCAGGCAAGCCTGGACGTGAACCTGACTCCATGAATTCCTGGATCAGTTTCCTCCCTTGTTTAGAAATCAAGGAGAATATTGCCTCCCTCAGAGGGTTGTTGGAGGAATGAAAATTAGATACCAGTTGTAAAGTACTTGGGACAGTGTCAGGGCTATGAGGAAGGCTTAGAGATCATGCTGGGATCAGGGTGACCGCTGGGAAGCTGGAGCAGTCAGGGCAGTGGGTCACCTGTAGTCAGTGCCTGCCTGCACTCCAGGCTGAGCACATGGGAAAGATCCTTGGACACGCATAAAGAGCACTGGATGGGGAGCTCCAGGCCTTGCTTCCCAACTTGGCTTCCATGTGCTACTCAGCAAACCTGTTTCCCCACTTGTAAACCCAGGGGAAGGGCCTTTCCCCTTTGACATTCTGATTCTGCCCACTGTTCTTATTTCAAATACGGGAAAGAGTGGTGAAGGTGAATGGCTAAACCGCTGATATGATGGTCAGGGAACCACAAGGAGGTACCAGGAGTCAGGGCCCTTGCCAGAGGCTCTGACCCTTCAAACTGTTCTTCTGATTAATCCAAAAGCACTTGTGACCTTCTGTCTCAGTGGGTTCCCTACTGGGAATTTATTCTAAGAAAATAAATCATCAAGGATGTTGTAAAGACTTAACTTTATGGCTAATTATTCTAGCATTGTTTAGAATAGTAGAAAAACTGGAAATATGATTATATTATCAAGCAACAGGGAAATGGTGAAATTACGGCTTATCTATGTAATGGAATACCATGCAGCCACTGAAGTGATGTTGGAGAAGATGATTTCATATCAAAGAAAGTGTTTATAATCTATTAAGAGAAAATATTTCAAAATAGTGTAATTCTACTTTCGCAAAAATTATATACACATGGATGTGTGAAAAAAAGCTGGGAATACACTGAAATATTTAAAATGGTCTCCTTGGAGGACTAGGTTCTTGGAGGATTTTCTTCTTTTGGCTTATCTCTATTTTCTGTGCTATTTTTATAATAAAACAAACCCACAATAACTATTTGTTTTTCAAAAGATGAGATGTAAGTCCCCATGCAACCACTCCTGGTGGGGCAACAAGCGTTTCCTTTCACTTCTGGGGCTCAAGGGGGACCGAGTGTGCTGACTCCCTGCATGTCGTTGCAAACAAAGTCACCCTGAGGTCTCTCTTCCAACATGTGCAATTTAAAGACACGGAGGCAGCTGTCAGGGACTGCAGTGGGGGATGAGTTCGTGGACACTATGTGGGATGTGGGTTAGAGGCCTCTGTGGGGTGGTGTGATTCTTATTTAGGAAGGATGGAGGGAGGGAGAAGGAAGGGAGAAATCACACCTGGGATGATGTCCAGTGCTAGACAGTGGGTCCCAGAAGTGGGCCTGGGGCAGCCACAGCAGAGTCCTGGTGGGGTTTGTCTAGAATTCAGATTCTAAAGCTTTGAATCAGCCCAGAAGCTGCTGGCTTAGCAACAAGAGGCTCTATTTGAGGTTCCTTATATCTTTATTTGACCCCCGGGCAGGCTGAGCACAGAGGCACAAAGGAGCAAAGGAGCAAAGGAGCAAAGGAACCCACGGAAACGTGAAACCAAGTCTGGGGCTTCAGGCTGCCCTCTGCCCGAGGACTCAAAGCTAACCCTTCTGAAGTGCTCCTCTCTGTCAGCAAACCAGGTTTCCTCCTTTGGAAGGCCCTGCTGCTGGCTGGCACGGCAGGGTCTCAACCATCCCAGGGAGGATGCTGAGTGAGTATGTGGACAGGAGTGGCACACCTGTCCTCCTCATCATTTGGAAGTGGGTATGTGTGCCCAGCGTCTTATCCACATGACCTTCAATCCTTGCAGCAGCTTTGTGGGGAAGGTGTTGACCCTACTGGAGGAAGACAAAACTGAATCTCAGAGAAGCAATTTGCCCAGGGTCGTGGAACTATTAAGTGGCCCTCTTCCAGGACACCAAGCAGCCTCACCAACACAGAGAGATGTAGCCTCAGACAGCCATGGCAAACAATAGGCAATGGCCTAGTGGTTCCAAAACAGAGGTGAGAGACAACAAACAACAGCAAGAGACAACAGCAAACATTACGTTCTGTGGCACGGGGAGGGCACTGGACTAGGGGTCAGAGCCCAGGTTCAGATCTCCCCACTTAGCCGCTGGGCAAACTTGGGTGAGCCATGTGTTGTCTCTGAGCCTCATCTGCACAAAGGAATAGTGACATGTGCCTTGGCTGCTTCAAAGGGGCCTCCTAGAAATCAAATGAGAGGATGTACATAAATAAATGTGCTTTGTAAACTGTAACTGTAAATGTGCAAATGCCACCCAGTGCGGCTGTGGTGGTACTTATTCTCATGGGAGCTGAGTCTCTGTAGGGCTGCCCTCGCCAGCAGGGGATTCACCTCCTGCAGTTTCCCTCTGAAGCAAAGAAAGGCCTCAGCCTAGTAAGGGGTGGAGGCTCTCCTTCACCATCCATTCCACAAACACTTGTGGGAAAGACCCACTCCACAGGCACCCACCACGTGTGAGATGGAGGACAGAGAGGAGGAGGCCTCTGTCTGGTGTGGCTGAGTCCTGGTGACAAGCAGTGACGCTGGGCCAGGCTGAACAAGGGCGAGAAGCCAGGCTCACAGTGGAAAGGCCACAGGATCAGGAGTGGACCAACACAGCCCTCAGAGACTGTGTAAGCCTCACTGGTCACTTTTCAAAGTCTCGTTTCTGCAGTTGTCGGTGTGGCCGGGGGTCTCTAGTCATGTGGTGGTGCTGGGGCAGAGGGGTCAGGGAGGTGTGACTGGAGGACAGGGCTGGTTGGGGATTCTGAGCCACGTAAGCCTCCCCTTGGGCCCTCTGGACAAGGTGCTCCTACCACACCCCACCTGAGAAGCCAGGGTGATGGTCCCTTCTAGGGAGCTGAGGCCTTAAAACAAGTCCTCAGAATCACAGGCACCCTCAGAGGAGGGAGGAAGGGACAGGAAGGGACAGGAAGTGTCAGGTCTGAGGAGTCCCCAGCTTCTTCCAGGATTGCTGGCCCCCACACCCACACCTGCCAGCTCTGAGCTGCACTGCCCCACCTCCACTCCCATGTCCCATCACCTGGACAGGAGGCTGGCAAGTGCCTTCTTTTGCTCCATGTCATCTTCCTGTGATGGGGTTTTCAAATGAAATTCACGCCTTGGGTGGCTCACAGGGTCCCAATGACAATTATTCAGGGACAAATTGGTACAAGCAGTAATCTCTGCTGAGGAGAGTAGGCTAGATGGAGACGGGCCCTGTGCACCGGAGATAAAGTCCATGCCTGTTGCCTCCATACTCTTGGCTTCGGCCTGGGCTGCTTTCTGTTGAAGGGAAGCAGAGTGGCTCTCTCCTGAGAAGGGGCCGGGGGAGGTGAAGAGGGTCTTCTCTGACACTTGCTTGCCTCACCTGCACACAGCTCCCTCATCAGCACTGGGCACGATAACTATTTGTCTCTGGGAGGAGAGAGCAGCCATCATGCTGAGCAGTGCAGCCCCTCTGGTAATGGAGACTCCCCCCAGACCCTCAGGCTGTGCTCACAAGGGGATGGAGAGTCTCTTGTTTCTGTGGTTCTCAAGATTCTCTTGCAGTGCAGAAAACATGGGCTTTGGAGCCCTCCAGCTCTGGGGCCAAACCCTTTCCCTCCTGCTCCATTTCACAAGAGCCCTTTTACCCCGGGGGGATTAGGACCACCCCTTGGGGGGAGACCTGAGGCCCAGCTGTGGGCAAAGGGATCTGCTCAAGGCCACAGGCAGGTGCGGTATGGGGACAAGACACAGGTTTTTTGACTTGGTGTCCAGGGCTCTGCCTTCTTGCCACACTTCACAGCCCTCCTTCTGGAAGCCAACGTGGCTCGCCTGGACTGAGTGGCCAGCAGTGGCTGCCCACCTCCCCTGTCGCCCCCTTGAGACCTGGCGCTGGTGTTTGCTGGTGGCTGGCCCAGAGTGGAGGGCATGGGATGGCTGTGGAGCAGGCCAAGGCCAAGGGGCCCTGGGGTGGAGATAGTGAAACAACGGTCATGGCTTTATCAGTCCTGAGAACCAACATCTCTGAAAACCAGTCCAGCAGCAACACAAGCCGGGACAGAGCCCAGGTATCATGGGTGCTGTGCAGAATGGGAAGCTGTGCAGATGGTGGGTAGACCTTAGAGAATTACTACCAACTGTGGGAGCCAAGTGGGCTCCCCTGGGCAGCAGAATTAAAATATCGGACACAAGAGGGGGAAGAATCTGCAGGTGGTACCATGGCAGTGGGATTCAAATCCTCTTGAATCCCTGTTTCTTTATAGATAAAATGAAAGGGTGGGGTTGGATGTTCTCCCAAGCCCTTTCCAGCCTGGATGTTCCAGGGGCCTCAAAAGGCAAACTCACCTCCTCTCCCGTCAGGTAGAAGGCTGAGAGGAGTCCTCCGATGTACCGGATGTTCACTTCGAACAAGGATGCTTCTCCGCTCTGTGGGGCAGAAAGACAGGGAGGGCAGGGGGAACATTGGTGAGATGACTATAGGGCTCCCTGAGGCATCCAGGCCCTTGAGACAGGTCACACCTGCCACTGCCCCTGCCCCGCTGACCTGGCCACACCTGGACCAGGCTCCAAGCTCTTGCCCAGTGGGGCCAGGCTACCCTTGGTAGTAGTTTTCAGAGCAAAAGGAGAGAGGGATCAGCACCTGCCTGGCAGGCAGCTACTGCACATTTACAGAGTTCCAAATAAACACTGGGTTTGGCTTTCTTCCCCAGCCCCTGCCAGAGGCCATCGGAGCAAAGTTATGCCTGGCTGCTCTCCAAGGAGCTCAAGAACTCATGTGGGGAGCTGCTTGCTGAAGCTTAGCATGAGGAGAGGCAAATTCTCCTCCTGTCTGGTCACCTCCCCTCCTCAAGGGAGCCCTTCGGCCTAGTAAGAGGATGGTGGCACCTTTCTTTGGGGTGACAGGAAAGTGGAAGCTTCTCAGAAGAGGTTCTGAGGCAGAAAGGGCAGGGCCAAGGCTGGGAGGGAGGGGTGCCAGGCAGTTACTGGTAGGAAACCAGCAGTTTCTCAACCTCAGCTCTGTAGCCCGTAGAATACAGTCACACTTGCCTTAATTATTATTGTTTTCTTTCTGAAGTCTGGACTGCAAATCAGGGGTATTAGTGCATCATGTCAAGGACCAGATCTGGGTAAACTTCCCACCTGAGCCACTCAGTTGGTTTTTGGACTTCGGGCAAGATATTTAGCTTTTCCCTGACAGAATTTCTTCATCTGGAGCAGGGTAGATATGAGATGCTGATTGGGCAGGTGAGATGCCTGCCCAGGACCTGCCCATCTGGGCATGGCTTCATAAAGGTACCTGTTATTACTCCTCTGCCCATGAGGGCTCCCCTTGGCACACTTCCCACATCATGGTCTTTTATTATTAATATCAACAATGATCATCCTTTTATCTCAGAGAGATCTTCCATTAACAGAGCACTTGCAAAGCTATTCTCTCTTATGCTGCACAGTACTTGGCGAAGTCGTCACTCCCATTTTTCAGATGAGAAAGTTAAGGCTCAGAGAGATGGAGACCCCCCCATCTTGCTTTCTTCCTAATTTGCCCCCTCTCCCCGGCCTGAACGTCCCTAAGCTCTCCAGCCCTGCCACCACCTGGCCCTTCAGGCAGTTGCCTAGGACCCTCTCTCTACCTACCATCTGTATAGGGGACAAGGCGGGCTATGAAGACACTCCTTTTTTCTCCTGCCTCTGCCTTTCTCCCATTGTATACAGGAGGAAACAGGAGGATTCTGAACTTCCTCACCCTGTATAGACTAGCAGAAATCATAACAAGCCTCAAAATCATCACAATGATGATAGCACCACTTTACATCTGTATCGGACTTTATTGTGTTATAAAATGCTTTTTACAACCCACTGCAGTAGTCAAGCCTCACAAGCCTGTGAATTAGGCACTACCACTGTTCCGTGCTTTGGTTGGAGAAACTCAAGTTCAGGAAGGTGAAATGACTTCCCCAGAGGCTCTCCTGGAGCACTGCTCTTCCAGACTTTCCCCACTCTCTCTGTCTGCCCTGCTCTGTGCTGACATGGGCCTCTCCAGGGGCAGAGGCCTCAACTCTGCCATGAGCTGCAGGAGCTGTCCCAGGTCACAGCAGGATCTGTCACTGGTGGAGCCCTATAGTGCATTTTAATGTGACCCCTCCCAGCTCCCATCTGTCTCCACGTCTTGCTTCCCCAAACCATCTAAACAGCCTCTCTCCATGGTTAGCTGAGACCTCCAGGATGGGTCTATTACTTCAGCCTGGGCTGGGAAATCAGTGGGAGTGGCATCTGGTATTTAAGGCTTTTGTACCATCCATACACATTAGTGTCCCTGATCAGGGATGCCTGCAAGCCTGGAAACCAAGAGGGTCCCAGACCTGGCCATGGGCCACAAACCAGAGGGCCCCCGGCCCCTCTCACCTATCTCATGATGGCAGTATGGTGGTGAACGGGAGGTCCAGGTTAGAGCAGCTCCAAGCAGATAACCACTTCCTCCTTCACAGAATCACTTTCTCTGATGCTGCTGTTTTGTCTGACAGATTCAGTCCCAGAAGTAGCTTCCTGGGTGTGCAAAATGTGCCTGGCACCCCAAGGAAAGGAGGGAACGCCTGTGGCTGTCTTTCATCCCAGGGAGATCAGGCTGGCAAATATTCATGGGCTGGCCAGGGTAGGGGGGACATCCCCCACCTTAAAGCTGGTCTCAGCATGGAGTGCATGGAGCCCTGGTTCCGAGAATGCTCTGCTGTGTAGCTGGGTCTTAGAGACAATGGAGGAGTTGGTCAATGACCTCTTGGGCCCTTTCTGGTCCTAATACCCAGGGCTTCTGACTCACCACGTTCAGGTGGAAGCTCTCTTCTACCCAAGCCTTGGCCTCCTGGAACTCCTCCTTCAGCTCCATGAGGTGGAGGGTGTCGAGGGAGTCGATGATGGTTGCCCCGCTGAGACCTCCTGCAGGCACAGAGGATCGAAGGTGTGACCCAGGGTCATTCTTATCCTTTCCACCCCAACCATACAAGCCACCATTCCCCAGGTCCTCTCTAGATGCCTGGGCAGGCTCTGAGGCTAAGGTTGGCCCAGGCATGATCCATGGAGACTCCAGGTCTACCAGCCTTTGAAGGCACATCTAGGACCCAGCATCCTGCCATGGGATGCTTCCTCCTCAGGGCAGCAAAGAATGGGTGCCAGATTGGGGAGACCAAGTTCAAGGGCTGAGCTGCTTCCCAGATCTTGATCTGCTCTTATATCTACCTACAAGTCAACCACCAGTACGAGCCAGGCACTCACCACTTTTCTGTGGTGCTGGGGAGGGGGGCAGGTGAGTGAACTGGCATTTGGTCTACAAATCTTAACAAATGTACCAGTCCTCTGACTCTTCAATTCCATTCCTTATTTTATTCTAAGAGAGGAGAAAAGATGTCATAAATATTTATTCCAGGAAGGTATTTATTGCAGTGTTGTATATAATGAGTAGAAGTTGGGGAAAAAACCCTCCAAGTCCAACAATAGGGGATTAGTTACACAAATTGTGGCTCAAATATAAAATAGGACACTATGCACTATGCAGACATCCACATGGGTGAGGAAGATCTGTGCTAACTGGGGAGTTATCCATGGGATCTGTTAAGCTTAAAAAAAAAAAGTAGATTGCAAAGAAAAAAAAAAAAAACAAACCCAAAGCCCCACAGCATAATTTCTCGCCTGTACACCATTGTGAATGAGCCTGAACAGAACTAGGTCTGGCGAGGCATGATTCAGTGGTTATCTCTGAGTGCTGGGATTATAGGTATCCTTTGATTTCTTTCGCTCATGGATTATTTTTATAACCAGAGATGTATTTCTGTTTAAAAAAAAAGGAAAGACATTTTGGGCAGAGAAACCAAATAAATGTACATACCAAAGATTCTGTGGTCACTCTTGCTCTAAGCCACCGAGCACAAAAAGCACAAGCAACAAGGCCTGGCCCCTGCCACTGGGCCTTAGACTCTCGTCTTGAGAATAAAGGCTGAGCAAATTGTGCAGTTTTTCACACCACAAGCTGAATGGGCGAGTAACGAAGAAGACCTGCCTACATGGGACAACCAGAGCCTGGCATATAGAGGACTGTGAAGGAGGAAAGAGGGAAGAAAGAGATGTGCCTCGTGCTATCTGGAGGGCTTCCTGGAAGAGGTATGAATGTCTCTCATAACTCCTTACAACTATAGTCATTGCCGGCAGCAGCAATTTCCTTTAGGGGTCAGAGGGTAGTTTAAGAGGAATAACGCTTCCTTCGTGTGCTTCTTGCAGAGGCTCAAAGCATTGAAACTTGTAGGCTCTGCCCTCCCCTAGTGGAAAGCTAGAGCTGGCTGACAAATGCTGAGCCCCACTTGAGTCTGAAGCACGGCTTTGCAGGCACTCCTGCATTCAGAGCCAGCGTCTAATCTCCTTAATAAGTGCTTCTCTAACTGCCCACTTATGTTGACTTTGCAGGCAGAGAATCCTTGTGAAACTCAAAGACTTAACCACTTCTCCAGGCTCAGCAAGGTCTGACAAAGGGTTAAAGAACCATTTCCAGAAGGGAGGGTTTGTAAGGAAGAGTGGAAGGAGGGGAAGGCAAGGGGACATTGGCTTCCCAATCTAGAGTCACATGTCGCGAGATGGCTTGGACATTTGGGTTGAAGTGAATTTCCAGAATGTCAACCCCTCCTACACTTAAGGATTGGTAGGAAAATACACTCAAAGACAAACAAAGTTGATCTTTTCCTGGTTTATCCTGGCTGCTTCCCCTGTAGGTGTCCAAGGCTGAACACGGCTCCTGGGAACTCTTTAACCTCCTGAGGTGCTCAGGCCCAGGGACACTGATGGGCCACAGATGGAGAGAGAGGTATTGAGACATGCCCAGGCCAAAAGGCGCTGGCCCAGTGTCCACACTCCTGGATCTGAAGACTGGGCCCCTTCCTGTTAACCACAGGGCCTCAAACCTGACTTCTTAAGGGCCTGGAGGGGTTTTTGAGATCCCACTGCCTCACCCCTAAATTTGAGAGATTTCCCTCTCAGAGAGGTCCTACCCAAGATTAGACCAAGGGAAGAGTGGAGCCCCAGCCCGGGCCTGGTGTGATGTGTTTTCCACAAGGAGAGGGGCCTCTCAGTCCCCTGTGAAACATTTTCCAGTCGGCCTGCTAAGCCCCCTCCCCGACGGGGGCGGGAGACCGCTCTGACCAGTGAAGAGAAGGGAAGCCCAACTATGTGTCCTTCAAGGCCAAGGGAGAGATGGCCCAGAGTACCTGATTTCTGAATCCTGCCCTGGGCTGACTGGTGTTTTCACCCCATGGGCCCTCCTTCTCCTGGGCCGACCCTGAGCCCAGAGGCCCCAGGGCCTGGGCTGCTTGGAGGGCAGCCAGGGCTTCTCGTGACCAGCTGTCCTTCCCATACACTCCCGAGGCAGCCAGCTGAGAAGGCAGCTCACTAAGAGATTTGTTGGCAAGGTTCTGCCCCTGCTCTCGGGTTCCTGAGTCCTCCTCTCTGTTGCTCTCTCACCCCCGCCTGCACCTACCGCACAGCTGGGCTGCAGGCCAGCAAGGCACTTATTGGAACACTTCTCATTTCAGGCCAGAGGTTGCCCAGCGGCCAGGCCGGGCAGGAGAGAAGGCCCTATCCCAAATTCAGCTCTGTCTGCACCTGCAGCCGGCCTGGGTGGCTCCCCAGGGGACAAGACACCTGCCCATTCAGTAAACAGGCCCACGATGATTTATATGTAAAGAGCTGGTGGGGCACAAATAGTCAGGCAACCAGCTTGGAAGCTTCCCTGGACCTGGACCTGGGGCAGATTCCCCAGTGGCCCACTCTCCCAGATCTTGCTCTGAATCCTAGCTGTTCAGAAAGGACTCCTGCCCTGTTCCCCTTCCTGCCAGGGCAGGAGGCAGTGAGGTGTGTTAAAAGAACACAGCTCTGGGTTCAAATCCAAGCTTGGGCCAGCAACACAACTGCTGTAAGTGTCAAAGTTCTCATCTGTAAAATGGGGTACTGAGGAGCTACTGAAGGTTCTTGAGCTAGGATAAAGGTATCATAATGCCCGGTCTAAATATATCTGATAAAGATATCTGTACATGCCTGGCACAGAGTAAGTGCTGGACAAATCAGTTTATTGTTCTTATTTCTGGGGCCCTTAGCTCACCTTGAAACACTGGCCTGGCCGGGGAGATGCAGGTTCAAATCCTAGCTCCATTATGTACTAGTTGTGTGCTAAGGCAGACACTGTACCTCCCTAAGCCTCATTTCTCTCATCTGCAAAATGTGGAGGACTTACCTCATAAGGCTGTTGGGAGGGTTACATGGAGCAGATGGAAAGGAGCTGGTATGATGCTGGGTATATGTGAGCTTCCCCAGTAAACAGAAGTGTGGCCCTCCTTGTCCCTGACTGGCCCTGGGCAGCCCCTCTACGAAGTCTTCTGGGGTCACTGAGGCCTTGTGATGTTCCTGCATTAATGGCCTCTCACCACCCTGCAGGGCAGCGTGGGCACGAGACACAGCTTGCAAAAAACCTTGGCCCAACTTAAAGGACAAGAGTTACATGGGTCTCACCTGTGTCTGCTGCTGCTGAGGCCTTCTCACCCCTGACCTGAGTGTTTGTGTCCATAAGGTTCTACCTACTACCAGGACCCCTCCCTTTCCCTGCAAATCACTCTGTACATTGTCACTTGACCAGTCTTCCTAAAACCAGATCCACTGTGTCCCTCCTCAGCTCAGGAATCTGCAGTGGTTTTGCAGTACTCATGCAATAAGTGGGGGCAGTAAAGTCTTTTGGGTCTGATTCCAAAGGATCTGGCTAACCTCATCACCCATCAAGCTCTGCTTCCTGGACATGGGCTGCTACTCCAGCTTCCCAACCTTTGCACATGTGGTTTCCTCGGCCAAGAAAGCTTCTCTGTGCATGTGGGCATACACAAAGCCTACAACTTCTTCAAGGTCACCTCCCACTGGCAGCCTTCCCTAATTGCACCCAGCCAACCTCCTCCTGCTCAGAGAGCTCCCAGGGCACTTTCTTGGGCTTTCCACTTAGGTGACCTCCATTCCTGCCCTGTACTGGGGGGCTGTTTTGCCCCCTAACTAGACTGTGAGCTCCTTGAGATCCAAGGTTCCCATCTCCTCTCTCACACCGCTTCCCTGCCTTGTCTCTAGGCAGCCACAAAGGCCAGAGCGCCCAAACCCAATGGGCCACTCACCATTCCCTGCAGCCTCAGCATATGCCCTGACTTCTGTGATTCTTCTTCAAACTCTGCTAGGATTCGCCTTCCCCATCTCTTCTCCTATGGGGTCTAGAGCCCGCCCCAGTGTCTTCTTGCCCAGGAAGCCATTGTGATCCTCACCCCACAGTCTGCATGAAGTCTCACCCTCCCCTGAGAAATCTTCCCCAGCCCCTCAGGGCCTGCCCTCTGTGCTTCTACCCTGTGCACCTCATCTTAATAGTGCTGTCAATTTACCGTCCCTGCCCTCTGTAACAGCAGGGGCTCAGTCTGCAGCACAGTCATCTCCATGCTCAAGAGACAGCAGCCAAGTGAGGGTGGGCAGGCAGGAGGGCAGGAGACCAGGCTGGCCCGTCTCTGGAGCCTGCACTGACTCCCTGGCATCACGCTTGCTCTGTGCTGGGTCTTGGCCTTTAGGACGTCACTCTTGCTCTTGCTTCTCCTTCCCACTCTGTGGTTGTTTCTTCAAAGTCTCCTTAACTGGTTTCCTCATCCCCAGGCCTTGGAAGACTCTGTCCTTGTGCCTCTACTCTTCTCTGTCCTCCTTCCTTCCCTTCATGATTCAATCTGGTCTCCCAGCGCACCTACCATCCACATGCCAACGATTCCCAGATTTAAATTTCCAGCCAGAACCTTGACCTCAAAGCCCAGACTCATTATCCAACAACCCCCTACTCATATTTCCACTTGGAGGTCCACAGGCATCTCACCTTTAACATGTCTGAAAGC